GCGCTATGTTTTACGGCAAAAGCGGCAAAAGTTGTGGCAAATGGAGGAATTGTTGAAAGATTACAATCTGGAAATTTATACCGCTCCTCGAGTGCCAATTTATTTGATGCCAAAAGTGCAGCACCGTGCAGAACGACTTCCTGAACAGACGTTTCCAAGATTGACACGCTGCGAAGCAACACTGAAACGATGCATGAACAACGTACAAATCCAGTGCAAAAATACACACTCCACGTGCTATCTGATCAAGCGGATTATTGCAACAAATGTGGTACGCGCTAAGGCCACCTAGCTACCAAATTTTTCATCCAAATTTATAGCTGCTCCCGTGGAGAGAACCCTTCGAAAGATGTTGAAAAGCTGGAATTTGAACAGATATATCGAGAAACATGGGTAAACTGGATTTCACTTTAACCAGTGTCATCCACCAGATTTCGTTACAGCCCAGTACCGTCTTGTTCCCAGTAATTGGGTGTTACCAGAAGCATCGTTCAGCACTATGCTGCCAGCTCTGGACAACTGGAATTGAATCTTCAGGTACGAATTCGACTCAATGAACTGCGCTCAATGGAATTTTTTGGTGTGATGGCCACTCAGTCTTCAAGCAGCAGCACTGCTACAGCAAAGGCAACGGCACCAACGCTAGAAAGCATAAGCAGCGCAGCAGTATAATTGGACGAAAACGAATTTTTCGAGCCTTTGATTATTTGTGTGATACGGTCTGAAACTCAGTTCAGATCACTTCAGTGCCTTTTCGAACCAGTTCAATTCACGGCAATTCATTACAACTTAGTTCAGTTCAATATAATGTTTGTTTGAATTTAGTCCAGTTCAATCCAATTCAGCTCAGTTCCGATCAGTTGAGCTCAGTTTTGTACAACGTCTGTTCGGTCCAGTTCAGTTTAGTTCATTTTCAGTTCAATGCCATCACGATCTCTGTGAACTTCGTTTTCAGCCCAGTACAATACAGATTCACTTCAGCTTTCTTTATTTCATTTCTCTGTTATCGACGCTTGATTTGAACTTTTATGCTCCGACGATATCATCTGCACTATAAATTTTGCGGTTTTTAAAATTGCTGAAAGAAAAATTGATCAGTGTCTCGCAGCATTCAACAGTGCATTAAAAGAAAATATTGTGGTTTACTGGACCGAAACACTACTATTCACGTACTTTTATTTTGCCGTATTTTTTACATTAAGCAGCACGCTCCTCGATTACTTCTAGCGATACTTTGCAGATTGACTAAACCCTTCGTTTCAGTTTTAATTTATGATTGCAGAAATAGTGCTGACTACTACTGCACAGCTTTAGTATTTTTTCAGTTGACTCTTTTTTGTGCGTTTTTGCTGTGCATTGCTATGGCGCTGCTACAGTAAGCAAAACCGTATATAGGCAAGAGGTTGACTGTGTGTGTGTATTCGCGCTTTTTGTCACAACTCAGGAACCCGAAAAGATGGAAAGCTGAAATTTTAATAGAATGTTCCCTATCCAAGTACAACTTAGAGATTCAAATTCACTCCTCAGGCATATGTGGTTCTCACTTACCAAAAGGTAAAAGTTTTGGCGGGAAAAATACAGAACAACTAGTTTTTTTTCTTTTTGAAAGACTCTGCTTGTTGGTAGAATTCCTCGCCAACAGTGGTCGTCCATAATACATTCGTAAGATTGTCATTATAACAGATTTGTGTATTGTGGTAAATATTTTATCTCATCACAGAAATAAATGAATCATTAATATTTTACGCTGCTTACCAAGACGCCTTTCTGGATCATTTATCCACTGGTGTGCCTGCAATATCTGATCCTTTACTTCTTCGGAACGAGCATCAGCTTCATTTCTAATTAGTTGATTTTCAAATCCACTTCTCTAGTAGTCGTGAATTAAACTCCCAAAGTACCTCATTCACATCGCGGATGTTGCTCGCACTGAGGACAATGCCATCTGCGAAACGTGAGTGGTTTTATTGTCCACCACTGCTATTCAAACTATCTTTTTAGTCTAGCTTGCAGAAGGACCACAACACAACAGGCCATGAAAAGCTTGGTCTGTCCACCTACTCCGTATTTGTCGGTCAGTCCGCATTCGCTTCCTTAAAAATTTCCATTGTTATTGTTGCTGCATACATATAATCAATCACCGGCTTAGGGTGGATGTGGGTAAACTGGCGCGAAAGAATCTGTGCCCAGATACGTTTCTCACTGCGCAAATATGGGTTAATATGTATTTAAGGTTTGCCTGGGTCCAACCTGTGGTCCGGTGGGTGGGCAGTAATATTTGGAGTGTATTAAGATGGAAAACATAGGATTCGTTTATATATTTATACAAGAGAGCGCGACCATCTCCGGCAATGGAAGAGTTCGGGTGTTTGACCTTGCCGCTAACGTAATTGCTTCCTCATCTTCGCCGTTTTCGCCTCACTGTAATATTTTCACTCATACCTGAAAATTTCAGGAATAAATTACTTTCTCAAAAGGGAATAAATGCTGCTGGCCACTAGCATGGGATATCTGTGACCTACGTGTGGTTAGCAGCACTCGTTTTCTAGCAAAATTTAGTCAAGGTGATAATTTGAACTACACATTTGTCAAATTATAGCCGTTTGACGAACAATCCCTTTTGCGTTAGACAGACCGCATGCATAAATTAGCTGATAGTTACTGTGATCGGTGTGTTTCGTACGGTAACAGCGAGAGAAAAAGATGATTTTTTGCAAAAAAAACAGTCTGATCTCAACATGTGCATGATATCTTTTAAAGAATGTCTTGGGATCGTTATATCTCTTCAATTACATCGGCTACCTCGTCCGTTACTTTCGTAGTGTTTATCATTGTTATAGGTAGTAATCGTTTCGCACCGATTACTTGACAGAGTAGCTTGCTTCGAGTAACTAACTTCTTTTATATTTTCAGCATTACTTTAAGTACAACGTTATGCCTTTGTGAGAATGTCTGTCTGCCGCGATGATTCAACTCAAGAACTGTGACAGCTAGAAAGCTAAATTTGGTAGTGCGATCACCAACCATTTAGGGATCATTTAGGGATCCGAAAACAAATAATCAACTTTTATGCCATCCGTCATCCTGGCGCAGCAAGCATCAAAGATTTGGCTTCACAACTTAACATCATGTCAACACAAAGCAACCTTCACGCCACCTCCCCCCTCCTCCTCCCCTCCCCTTCTCTCGTACATCTGGGCCTTACTGTCGACTTTTTGTTCGGCGAATAAGTCAAAAAGCGTGCGCGGCGAGTCAAAAAACGAACCTTTTGTGTCCTTCAGCACTTACTCACTGTAAGCGTGCAAAAGCTTATCGCAAAAATGCATAATCGCGTCGGTTTCAAAGTGCTCATTGCTGTTTGTTATTTTAGATTATATCGTTTCAAGTTTTCGTGTTCGAGAATCCACAATGTTCTGCTACTGTATTGTACATTTCAAGTAGCTTTAATTTTCCAGATTTTTTTTAGCTTTACGATTCTGGCATTACCAGAGCGTGCTTGATTGTACCCTTAAATATTACTTCCTCGAGGGATATAACAAACTAAAATACTCTGAAATGTTTACAAGTCACTCCTCAATTTTCTTTTCTTTCACTTCTTTCAGTACATAATTTTGTTTGTTTTTCACGTTAGAAATTTAACAAAATAAAAGCGGAGTGGAAAAAGAAACAACTTTTAAGCAGACGCGTGCAGGGATGTGGGAGAAGACAGGAACGAGTAAATTTGATAAAAACATAATTTAAACGTGTGTTCTTAAACTGCCGTCAAATCACACTTTTACTGACAGCACTTAATAAGTGTTATGACAGCGTTAATGAATCGAAATGTCGGCGAAAACTATTTATTTTAACTAACTGAATAAATAATTTGAAAAATCTTTGGGAAAATACGCTTGGAAAGTAAAAGGATGTTAAAAAGGTTATTAAAAAATTAAATGCAAAAGAAATAAAAACAAAAAGTGGAAAGCTAAAAAACCAACAAGAATGCGAAAAAAAACAAGTTTAAAAAAATCAAAATATAGGTGTAAGTACGAAAAAAAAACCTTGCAATTCATGTAAATATTTGTCCTGAAAAATTACACACATTACAATTGTTACAACATTACACATATTCGCATTTAAAACTGTATAAATAGCTGAAAGCATGCAAAATTTGTTTTCTTCTCTTCTTTAAGATAAACTAATGAAAAACTGGTGGCGTAATTGAAAGTGAGGGAAACGTTTTGCAGAGGGGCAGTCATCGATAAGTTTTGTTTTTCAAGGATCTGTGAAGCACGTACTGTTTTCTGTGAAAAAAGTGCAAAAATGGGTGTTTTAGCAAATAGTGGGCAGGATTTGTTAAAAACTGGGTCTCCGGAAACTTAACGTCTGTCAAGTTTTTTTTTGCAGCTGACAGCTTTTTGCAGTTTAGCAGTCTTCAAATTTTTGCAACTGTGCAGTTTTTTAACGTTCCAGCTAGCATTTTACGTTGGAAATTCCATGAATACCAGTAGATATTCTAGAACATTGTGATACTGAGTCATTTCTGTCCGGAAAAATTGTGGACTTCATCAGTGTTGCATAAGAGGTATTAAAAAAGTAAAGTGAGCGAAGCGAACCGAAAATTTTTGAATTTTGAAAAATTCAGTGAAAGTTTTTCCCATTTTTAAAGCATCATTCTTGAACATATTGGGCATGATCGTGATGCATTATACACACCACTAAGTATTACTTAATTGTAATTT